AATTGTCAAAGTCATCTTCGACTCTTACATTTACCATTCTATTGTTCACAGAGAAAAATGTTTTTTCTTGACTAGAGAATTTGCACTTATATTCTGTAATTATTTTTAAATATAGAAAGATCAAATGTTTATTCTCCTATTGATTTCTTGTTTGATCTAATGAGAGATGTGTACTTTACAAAATATGACATTTCTTCGAAAGAAGGCTAATTGTAATGGAATATTCATAGCGTTATCTTCGTTTGAAACTAATATCCGTCCCAAAGTGTAAAGCTGTCGGTTACTTTTAGAATAACTCAATCACACTGGTAGCTACCTGCGGTTTTCACCATCGTGTTGCTAAGATCCTAAGACATGTTTCTGTAAGTAGAAACTTGTTTCAAAATTTTCTGGAAGTCGGGTTTTTCAGAGGGTCCTTGAAAAATCAGTTCCGTTCTCAGAAAACTAACATACAAACTTAGTAACTTTTTTTCATGCGTAGGTAGTTCGGACGTTACTCTACAAAATTATGCAAGTCCCAGCTCTCCAGTTATTGTCGTTCGGACAGGGCTCACTTTCCCTGAGCGCGTGCCTGTCTCTGAGCAGACATCTCTGGAAATCTCGAAATGCCATGGAATATAGGTAATCGATTATGCTGAGCACAGTGGCAACATTTATTTTTGCGTAGAAATGAAAATAACTTTGTCAGAGGCATTTTTGAGAAAAACCGGTTTTTGGTGCATTAACAGCAAAAATTAAAATTCTTATATCTCGGTCTAATCTCATGGTGACTCAAGAAAAATTTTCAGAAAAGATTTAAAAGGCGTCATATATTGTTGATCAAGTGGAAAAAGTGGTCCGACAGAACACTGAGGCTTTGAGGTTTTGAGGGACTTGCATAATTTTATAGAGTAACGTCCGGACTATCTACGCATGCAAAAAAGTTACTAAGTTTGTATGTTAGTTTTCTGAGAATGAAGCTGGAACAATACTTTGAAAAAATAATGCGCAGCAGAACAAGTTCAACAAGTTTAAATAATTCAATGGAGAAAATATTATGGGAAAAATATTGAGAGAGATCCATTCTTTATGACGTATCTGTTAAATATATACGTTGAATTTTGGGTTTTCTCTTGTAAAAACGAATGCTCAAAAACCGATCAAGATATAGGCTTAGAAAAGGGAGAACGAGAGAGAGAAAGAGAGTGAAAAGATAAAAGACAAAATATAGGTGGAAAAAAATCAAGTGCCAGCTCGATTGTACACCGTAAAAAGTTAAGGACATACACGAAGATAGAAAAGTGCAATTTTTTATTTTGTTATTGAACAACAAAAAAACTCTCCTATGTAGAAGGCACATTCGTTGAACGCGCAGAAGATTCTTCTTCTTCTATATTGATGGTATTGAATGTGTGTATCAGATAGAAACAGAAAACGAAAAAAAAGAACACATACACACATACACACACATAAATTTTCTTCTATCTATCGATATTGCATTTATTAAGACAATTTCATTTGGAAATAATAGACGATAATATTAATGATAACATAATAGTAATAACAAAATATAACAACGTATTGTAAATATTGTTTACCAGACGGTATGACAATGCTGATGAAGAATAATTAGAAAATATATTTGTTTCGTTATTTATTAGAGAATAGAATAAAGATTGTGTAGTGTTAATATTTGACGTAGTACTAGCTAACTGTTGACGAGTTAACATAATTTCGAAACACATATTACTAGTTGATGATGATGAAGAAGTAGACGATGTTAGAGCATTTAATGAAGAAGACGGTGATGATTGTGAGGAGGAATGACTTTTTTGTGAACCGGCTAAATGACACGTATCATAACAATAAGGTATTTGACCATAATCTGTATTAGGGATCAGTTCACCTAAAATCAAATAACAGCAACGAATAAGACTCATTATAAAGCATCCGACATGGCATCACTAATTATATATGGACATGATCATAATGACAAACGAAAAATAATGTAAAAACGAACAATATATCCACTCACCACTGCATACAAATATTGGTTGACCAGCAAAGAAAGGCTCTCGGTCTGATGGCCGAAATGTTGGACAAACTCTTTCAACTTCATCACAGATCTTTTTACAAGGCTGTATCAGATTTCCACGATAAAAAAATGGAATACGTATTGAACAAGCCCATTGCTCATAAGCTTGCTAGAAGAAGAAAAAAAATAAAATAAATATGTCCATTTAATTTTTTAAATAATGTATAATATGAAACATTTATAATATAACATAAAATTGATTTTTATATATTTCTTACCTTACAATTATCACAGATAGCGTTAATTGAAAATCTATTATCATTCGAATCACAATCCATTGCTTTCATGTATTTATTGAAAATATCTGTTGCTTCTTTTGCTTCATTATCATATTTACGTAATTTATCTATTATCTCTTTACATTGTTCGGTAGTTGTTGATGTATTCAATATTGATATCGAATCATTGTCGTCTAACGTTTGTATTAATGTATAATTTTTACAAAATGGTAAATTAATATTCGCTAATAATATTCTAGTACTATATTCAACATCATTATCTTCTTGAAGAGAATAAGATGATGGTGATGATGATCTTGAACACGTTCTTGAACAAATAGTTTCAATATTTATATCATTAATTAATTGACATTGATCATTAATTTTTAATGTTGTTCGTTTTAGTGTAATAGACGATGTTTTGATGTTTCGAATAGTCGTTGATGCTGTTGTTGTTGTATATGTTAAATTAGCATATGTGGACATAAATCTAATTGATGATAGTGATAAAAATACAACGGGTCGTTGTATATTATTACTTAATAATAATAACGTCAATAAATAATAGAATAACCTTTGAATATAATATAAACATTTTTGTTTTATTAATTTTTTTGTAATAATTGGAAAATAATTAACAACAAAAATAAATTGTTGTTGCTGTTTTATTGTTGTTCTAGTTAATAAACGAGTATCTTGATATTTTAATGTTTTTAATTGTTTATAACGTTTATAATCGGAAGTTGTCAAATTATTATCATCCGGTTTTAATATAACAAGTAATTTTCGATTATTTCCACTATACGTTTCATTATTATTAGACATAGCGTAATACTAAGCGTCAACATTCAATACTTTAAGTCTAACGTCATTTTTTAATCGTTTTATTTTATATAAATATCGACATTTAGACACAATCGATTTGTGATAATTTTCTAAAAAAGAATAAAAATTTTATGATCAAGTTACGATTATAACTTTTATTATATGATTTCATTTCTAATGACTAAAAAAAAAGTAGCGTAAAAGATTGTCTGTTCTCACTACATTTTCATATTTATTCGTATAACTTTAGGATAAATTATTTATTTATTTATTAATAGAAATTCATCATTGGAAACTGTCCCTATTATCATGCTCACCATTTTTCAAGATATTGAATTTCATTCTTCTAATTTTAAATAAAAGAACATCAAAAAGTATTTTTTACAATAAAAACCACTTTCCCAATTTAATTCCCCCACCCCTTTTTTTTTTTTTTTTTTTTTTTTTTTATTGAAGATTCATTTTTTTTTTCTGTTTTTTAACAAACATTGAGTCTAAATACGCGTTAGTTTTTTATCTATACTAAACATACGTTCAGTGTTGAATGTTGAATACAAGAAGAGAAAAAAAAACTGGAGAAAAAAAAAGCAGAAAACAACAGACTGATCGTTTTCCTCTTGAGTTGTTTTTCTTTTTTTGTGTATGTGTTATTGTTCGTATTATCCTCATCATCATCATTCTATTACGTTTTTTCTGTCTTTAATAGGTTTTTCAATGTATG